GTTTGGATTTCTACCATAAATGATTTTGAATGGAGTTTGTTTTGTAGATTCTTGAACCGAGGTGTTGTATGCAAATTGTAAATCATATAGTTTCTTGTCCCAGTCAGAGTGCTGCTGATTCACAAAATGCGCAATCATTCTACCAATTGTTGCATTTAAACGCTCACTTAATCCGTTTCCCCTAGAATGATATGGTGTTATATATTTATGTTTCACTCCGTACATTTCTGTATGGATTTTTAATAAATTTGAGACATATGATTTACCATTATCAGAGAGCAGAAATTGTGGAGCCGAATGCCTACAAAATACAGCCTCATGCAAAAATTTTACAATTGTTTGTGAAGATTGATCAGGAATGGCTCTAAATTCAGCCCATTTGCTGAATAGACAAATTGCATTTATAATATATACATTTTTTGCTTTCGTAAGTCGGAATGGACCCAAAATATCAGTGGAAATAAATTGCATGGGGAATTCAGGTACTGGAATAGGGTGTAATAATCCAGGAAATTTATCATAATTTCGCTTAATGCTAGTGCAAGAAGGACATGCTTGAATAAAATCATATAAATCGGATTTCATATTTTTCCAATAAAATCTGAGTGATAATTTTTGATAACAACGACTTAGTCCTAAGTGAGCAGACATTGGGATAGAATGAAAATCATTTAAAATTTCTTGTCTCAAAATTTTGGGCACAACTAATCGGGCATATCCAAGTGAAATATTATACAAAATGCCGTCTTTTATTTTAAACTTTATTGAACAAGGAGCAAGGTTAGAAAGTATGGATTGACATTCCTTGTCTAGTCGCTGAAGCTCCAAAAGGTGAGAACTTTCTACACAAAGGGTTGGAATTTCTAACCTTTCTGGGTCTTCGATGGGCAATCTACTTAGCCCATCGGCTATTTTCTGCTCCGACCCTTTCCTGTACCTTAGTGTGCAGTTATGCTCTTGGAGTAGTAATGCCCATGTAGTAAGACGGTTCGATGTTTTTTCAGTCTGCGAGGCAAACTTTATTTGGGTTATTGTTTGGTGGTCAGTGAATATTGTGAATTTCTTTCCGTAAATATATGGGTGAAATACGCGCAAGGCGTGATATATGGCGTAAAACTCTCTCTCAGTATTATTATATCTTCTTTGGTATTCATTAAGGGTTTTACTGGCATAGGCAACAGGTTGTTCGTGACCTTTCTCATTTAGTTGCATTAAACAACTTCCTATTCCCACTCCTGAGGCGTCGCACTGAATGTGGATAGGCCTGTCTGGGTCATAAAATGCAAGTAAAGGAGGGTTAGTAAGGTGGAATTTCAAAGCTTGAAAGGCTTGCTCTTGCTCAGTTCCCCAAATATAAGGAATATTTTTACGAGTCAATTTTGTCAAAGGCTCAGAGATGGTTGAATAATTTGCAATGTATCTTCTGAAATAATTTGCACATCCTAAGAAATGTTGCAATTCTTTAAGTTGATTTGGTTTTTGTGGTGGTGGAATTTTCAAAATTGCTGAAACTTTTGACATGTCAGCACTGATTCCCTCTTTTGAGATAATATGACCCAAGATTTTTATATTAGGTTTTAAAAAATAGCTTTTTTCTACATTTAGCTTGATACCATGTTCTCGAAAACGTGCTAAAGTTGCTCTCAAATGACGAACGTGATTTTGTATGGTTTTGTCCGCCAGGATAATATCATCAATAAAAGCGAGAACACTTTCCCACATTAAGCCACACAAGATAATTGAAATTACTCTCTGCATGGCTTGACTGCCTGTGCTAATTCCAAATGGTAATCTTAAAAATTCAAATAATCCCAAACTGCAAATAAAACTTGTCAGTGGGATAGATTCCTCTTCAAGTGGGATAGACCAGAATCCCTTAGAACAATCCATTACTGAAATAAAATTTGCACGACTTCCTATCCAATCTAATACGGTCTGAATGTTTAATAATGGAAAAGAATCTTGTTGAATTTGCGAATTTAAATTTCTGTAGCCTACCGCTAGTCGCGGCGATTTTTGACCTTCAGAATTTTTATGACCTTCTGTAACAATTACAACTCCACTAGCCCAAGGTGAATGTGATGGTCTTATTATTCCCTTATTTAACAAATCTTGTACTGTCTCTCTCTCGAATTTCTCCAAAAGTGCGGGCTTTCTGTATGGAGCTTTTTTAACAGGTTTTGCCCCCTCAATTAATTGAATTTTATGTTTATAACAATTAACTAAACCAATCTCTCCAGGTTTGGAAAAGACGTCTTGATACTCAGTTAATACCTTAGCTATTTGCTCTTTTTCCTCTGAAGGTGCTTCTGGGTGTATTCTACCTAATAGTTTTTCTAAATGGCTTTTTTCTATATCACTCTGTATAGACTGGAGTAAGTTGGACTCCTGCGTATTTTTTGTAATTTCATGATCTGTTGTAAAACTGGTTTCTTCAATGGGAATGTCTGCGAAAACATGTATTTCTGCTATTTTAGTTCCTTTCTTTAGAACAATCTTTTTATCGGTTATATTCATAATTGGCAAGTGTAAGTTGGCTGAAAATTCTTTCCTGAGTAGGATGGTTGGCATATAAAGAGACAATTCTGCTAAATTTGTATGCATGTATATCATATTTATTGGATTGATTTCCCCTTGGTATTCAACTTCAATTCTTTTGCAAGTACTACTTGTAATAGACTGGTCTCGGCTACAAATTACCGGTATTATTTTCTTTGATTCGTTTACATTAGTTTCTATTGTTCGAGCATTTAAATCTGTTACTTGTATAGGATCCATCTGCAAAGTTTCCTGATCTACTGTAATCTCCTCTTTCTCAAAATTTAAATGTACTTGATGTATTTTATGAAAGTCTAAACCCAGGAGCAAATCATACTTAAAATTCTCTATAACGTAAGCCTTAAAATCAATCGTTGAACTTTGCCCGTCCAGTTTTATTTTGAGATTTGCATATCCTATAGTTTTCATTGGGTTATTAGAAATCCCAGTAACATTTACAGTATATGATAAGGGCTGTATATCGATAACAAATTTGGAATTTACAATTGTGGCACTGGAGCAAGAATCATAAAGTATTTGAGCCGGAAGGTTATTAACCAGGCCACATGTTCTAGTGAGGTTGGAAGAATTTATGGCTAAGCCGTATTCAAGTCGGGGGTTGTCATTTCCACTGCATTCACTGTGCCTCGGGGTGGCGGAGTTCGATTGTTCGGTGTTGGGTTGGTTGAACTCCGCCCCTGCTGGTTTCCCGACCGACAGTTGCGTGATAAATGGCCCCTACGCTGACACTGGTTACAGGTTACCTGCGATAGGCACATATTCAGTATATGGCCTACCTTATTGCATGTGCCACAAATAATAGAAGAAGATTGTTGTGACCTACAGAACCCTGCTATATGTCCAAATTTACCACAGTGCATGCATTGAATTTTGGGAGCCTTTTGACCTCTACATTGGTTGGCATTATGATTCCTCTTCCCACAGTTGGCACATTGCACCAGATTATTTTGTGAAGAAAAATTTTGGGTTTTATTGTTTTGAAACTTGAATTGGGTCGTAAAAACTTCCATCATTTTATCCATTTGTTGTGCATGCTGCTTGCTTTGTAGCTCTAAAATCTTTGAAAAATCTGCCACAGCTTTTGTGGCTGGCTCGACAGAATTTACCTCTACATATTTTGTAATAAGAAACTGTGTGTCAGAAATTCTACGAATCTGGTTGAGTACCTCCTCAACTGTTTTTAAATTTTGTGGATAGATTTTTTCAAAGTATAAAGGTTTTAAGCCTCGGACAATATGACGAACCTGGGTGGTTTCATCCATGTCAGACTCATAATCTGACATTAAGTCTATCTTAGCATAGACATAATCTTCTGGGCTTTCGCCCGAGCGTTGTTTTCTAGCTAACATTTTGTCCTCGGCGACCTCTTTCGAGGCCACTGTCCTGAAAGCCTTTTGTAAGGCCTCCGTAATATCTTTCCACTTGATCTTTGCAATCGTAGGAGTACCACCCGCAGTTGCTGTCGCCTGAGCATTCTGTTCTTTTAAATATTTGTGGAGCCATAAAAGGGCTGTGTCAGCTAAGTAGTTTTGAAGTTGAGCCGTTTTTATCGTCTCATCCCATGAATTGGCCTGTGCAGCAAGCTCAAATCGTTGTAAATACTTATAAGGATCTTGGTCTGCACGACCAGAAAAGGTAGAGGGAACGACCCCTAACTTAACAGGTTTTGTTGTCATTGTTAGTTGAGTACTTTTATAATCAGCAATAAAAATAGAAAAGGTCAACTGTGCCCTACTTTTTGGGTTGCTTTTGTTCTACTGAAGATTTCTGAGTATTTTGTGTGGAAGGCATGTCCACATACCAGGTAGACCTAGGCATGGTGATATTTTTATGATGGGGCTCTACTTTAGGAGTTTCCTGGGTAGGCTTTGAGCCTTTCTTAAAACAGGAAAACATTGTAAATGAAATTGAGGCAAAAATAAATGGCTAAAAGTTTGGATTTTACTCTACTTTTTCGAATTTTTCGAGTTTTTCTGAGTTGACTGAAATTCATTCGATGAAGTCAAATCAATCTCAAATTTACAATCCTGATTTTGGAGAGTAGCTTTGCCTTGTGTTAAATCAATTTCTTTAATTTTAGTGGAAGTTTTATCCCTTTTTTTAGGAGATAAGCAAGAGAACATTGTGAAAGGAAAAGAAATACCCAAAATAATTTTTTGAAAAATTTTTCTAAATATGTAGCGAATTATGTAAAAAGAGATTCTAAAAGATTTTAGTTTCGGCACCAAATGTTACGCATTAGAATGGCAAACATGATGATTTAATGAAGAAAGCAACGCATTCTTTTATACATTTGTGTATTGCATTTATTAACATTTACCAAGCTCAAGTTCCAGAGGTTGAAACCGTGCGCTAGTAAGAACAAATCTCATCTCCTCTCACACAGATTTTGGAGGCTTATTTATACCTACAGGCTAGGTCATAAAACTAGGGTCTTTTATTACGTAATGCATTATCCTAGTACACCATTGTACACTATTGTAACAGCAACCAATTCCTGGACGAAGACCACGCAACAAAAGACGAGACATGCACCCAGGCCGTAAAACGCGCCCGCAATATGTTTCAAGGTCAGGTCGTCGCTCTCATCAGGGTCGGAATGTTCCAACTTATCCGTTTGGTTCGTTGCCATCCACCAAGCCCGTTTTGCAAGACGGACGGTGACCTGCATGTCGTGTGCCTCGAATAAGTCGCCGAGATGGAATGGTCTCGCCCAGGAGAGACAGGCGTCAAATGCGTCCTTGTAAATCGAACCAGATTCGAAGGCAAGACCGATGAAAACCTAGAATCAATAAGCTAATTTACTAAGGAATTGCACGCAATTATGCACGGAGACGGTCCATAAATTATGTCACGCAAGCGGGGGATGGGGGGCAAGACTCCTAGGTTATCGTGCCTATGTGACACATTTTAAAGGGAGGAGGGGGGGAGTCTAGAAATTCGCGGTTTTTACATGACGTAACTTTTGGATCTCCCCACGTGCTTATGTTCTTGGTATATTAATGAACCTAACTTCGACCACCTGATCAATCTAAAAATTCGACTAGTCTAGAAATAAGTGTCAAAAACGGGTCTCAAAAATAGTTTCCCAGTATGTGAAGAATCCCCAAAATCATAACAATTTCATTGCCACTGAACCGCACATTGCATACATTTATGTACGTCGGACAGTAGAAATCTTGCCCTTGTAGGCTTCGCGGCAGATGAAACACATCACAATTTAACTTAACTCACCACAAATATCTTCTCCGGTGCATACACCAATTTCCGAATGTCCGAATCTGAAAGATTCCCATACTGAAGATAATTTGTCGCCATGGTGTACGCAAAGCAGGCGTACTTCCTCTCCATGACCCGCTCCAGGCATTCCAATCCGTTCCCGGTAATTATCTCCATCACCTTCACCAGTTTCATGTATGCCGGATCGGTCGAGGCGGCAAGCATGCTCATCGCTGCATCGCCATGCTTAATGAATCCTATGGTGTAGTCAGAGTCCACTAACTCGGCAATGGTAGTCGGAATTTTCTCCATGACTGGGAAGGCCAGCAGACTGACCATCTTCGACCTTGAAAAATTTTCAAAATTCGAGTATCAAGGGGATGGTATGCCAACCAAATAGAGAATTTAAAAAGTAATAATGACAGGATTTGGGGTAGATTTGTAGGTACAGGACATATGTGGACAACAGCGTACTGGGACAAGAGAAAAACAAGAGGAATTCAATAGCTCTCATGCTACGCAGGGTGAGCTAATAAGGACAGGTAACAAGTATACGTCGGGTATGAATGAAAAATGACTTTTTCCATTTATTGGCCTACAGCGGCCAAACTTTCAGAGAATGGTTACGGTCACAAGCAGGTCACGTAGGTCAAAGCATATTTTCTCATATTTTTCATATTTTCGGGTTTTGGGACATATTTATATTCCCGATCATATTTCGGGCTTTTTTCGTTCATTTTATAATTTTTGGCCAAATTCTAAGATTTGACTACCAAATCGCAAGAAAATTACAAAAATTCAGTTTTCTCACAAGGATTGATTTTGAGAAACGTGCAAAAATTTATATTCACTTTCGCCTAAGGTGTTTGAATTCATTGAGAATGAATTAAATCACCCCAGAACTTGTTGTATTGATAAAAATAGAGTATCACTAAAAAATATATGACAAAATTAAGCCAAAAATTCAAAAAATAACGTCATTTTTAAGGCTATATGTTGGGGATTTTTACGGTCATTTTTCATTCATATTTTGAGGTTTAATCGATCATTCATATCCGATGTCTGGTAACAAGTGTAAAATATGTCCATATTTTGTCCATGTAATATATTGGTCTGTCCACATTAATCCCTGCTTCTATGAGGGTGCCAGTATAACCACCCAACCAATTTTTTTTTTCTTCCAACCAAAAGCAACAATTTTCGCAACATTGAAATTTCCAGCCATCGAATTTTTTAATCCAACCAAAATGTTAAATGATACAACCAATAAGAAATTTCACAATTTAAGAGAGAAAGCATTTGTATTTAGTAGGGCTTCTGGTGATTTTGGTTGGGCACTATAAATTTGACCCCTTCTTCGATGAAATCAGAAAGAGTATGGAACTTATGAAACAAATAATTCTTAAAGTCGTACATGACTTTGTCACATAATAATATGTCTCAAACCTGTACACCGTTGTGACAACCAGGACAAAAAACAGCCACTTGGCGGCAAAACACCGAAGTGGCGTGTACGTCGGGAGGACACAAGCCTGATGAAGGTAACTGCTCATCACGAAAAATAGCTGGTGGCGGATCCCCCAATTCTCCTTCCTGGTAACCCCCCTCGTCTCAGTGTTATCAATTCCAAGCACCTCCATAGATTTCGAAATTAGTTTGAAGACAGTAAACGCTAGCAGAGTGGAGGCCCCAATGCAGGTCCACATGACGAAATCAAACGACCAGAGAAGCGTCGCAGGGGAGAAGATTCGGGCCCCACGTGCCGTCACAAAGTGTAAATAGACACGGTCAAAGTTGGAGTTGGTGAAGGATACTTCACGATCTGAAACAATAATCGGAAACGCCTTATTTGAATAAATGCATATTAACCTCAATTTTACCAAATTGCATAGATTTCTTCTCAAAGGACGGGTATTATTTTGGTACTTAGGTATGTATTTTATGGTAAAAAGTTTTTCTTCCCAATGTTTCAAAATTTTACTTACTCCGGTCAACAGTATTTACTGCTAGGATTCCAACGTCAGCTTTGCCAGAAATAACGTCCCCTACAGTTCCTAAGAAAGTAAAGTCATCCAGTAAATCCACTAAAATACATGACGCTACTTTTGCAAAATTTGGAAACAAGCATCTCTTGCAAATGTTTTTTTGCGGAAAACCAACAGTATTTTTGCACACCTATCCACGTTCCATTCGGGAGTTGCAACCCGCTTCCTCCTCCGTATCCGCCATCTGTTCCCGTTGAGAGGAACATGTTATAAGTAAAATTGAGTTTGATCATTAAAAACTCATGAAACAGAGCCTTCAACATGCCACGATGAGCATTATTTACTCCCACGTAGGGCGGGTTCACTTCAAGTCTCGCTTTAATGGCGCTAAACGATATTCTCAAAGTTTTTCCCATCAAGTTACGAACAAAGTCGGGAAAATAGTTAAAACTGGGGGTTCCTTCGGGAGAGAAATCGATAATCTGAGGCAGCCCTTCGTTACAGAAGAAGCAGACCGATTTAATAATCAGATCACCAGACGGGGTGAAACTGAGACCAAGCTTATACTTGGTCTTGGCCGGAAGATAATTCGATAAGAGGAGATTTTCCAGTTGGGATGGTTGTGGGGTGATCCAGATCCAGTAGTCCAAGTCTTTCTTAACCATGGGGAGATAGGTGGGGGATATAGAGCTAAAAAATCGTAAAATTCCTCATAAATTAATATAATATTACCCCTTTGACCAGTTCGCGCCTGTATTTCTTAAGAATGCTGCTAAATATCTTACCGTTTAACCCCCTGTAAAAAATCTGACCGGAAATGATCCACCACGATTACGATGATCTTACAAATGTGACCTCTTCTATTCCAATTTGTTACTTCTGTTGAAAACTTAATCGATGACAAGTTCGACAAACTTGTGGAATACACAGCGTTATAAGATGGCGACGTTTTCAGCCTTTTAACAACACTTGACAACAAATTATTCCCAATCTCACTTTCCCCACTTTGACGAACGAAAAACAGGGCACATTCCGGATACCGATGGACCGCCAGGTCGACCAGGAATGTTTCCGCCTTCGTCGTTATCACGCTTCCTTCCCCCATGGGAAATGGGTGGTGGAAACACGTCAAAATTAAAATAACCCACATTTCCATTTATGTATTGGGGGTGCGGGTGTCCCGAAATGTGAAAAATTTTAAGATAAATATTTAACTAAACAAATATCCTTGTGAGTTCCTTGACGCCGTTTTCCCAATTACAACACTGTTACTGGTAAATAACGTTTAACTGCAAAATGCAAACTTATTTATGTCTTTACTCTTTTCTACAGTATTTATAGGTATCGGTTTGATGCATATGTATGTAAATTAAACTTACATAGTAAAATATGTATGTAATTAATCCTATATACGTGGTAAATTTTTCACCACTGCCACATCACCAAACCGTAATGTTTGTAATTACTGTGCCGGAAGTGTACTCCGGTCAATAATAATTTAATACCAGTTGCCTAAGAGTGTATTGTTTTAGTCAGCTATCAACGTAGTCATAAGTAAATTACATAGTTGCACGTTTAGGTATGTATTGCAGCGTTACATCGTGCTTGCTAGTTTCGGTCCGGTTTAAAGTATAAGCAAGCATAGCACCCCTGAAAACCGGAATACGTAATTCGATCATAAGTAATTTCAAATAATTAGACTTAATTGAGTTACAGACAATTTTAGACCTGTTAGCGTGATATGAATTTAGTGACACAGTTGTACTTGAAGAAGACACATAATTAATATTACAACTTCCGGCTTGACTGAGAAAAAACTGAAAGATAATCTGCACACTTTAAGAAATCAAATATGAAAAGTACCAATCAGTATTCAAATGTGACTCTACCACCGTGTGGTAATAGAACGGTATTAAAGTTTTACAATATCGGGAGGAAATTTCTACGGACCGGTATAATCTTATTACCGAGTTGTACCAAGCAATCAACACCTATCAGGCAGTGTGTGCAAAAAGGCAGCCTTTTTGCTTTTTCTGCATGCCTTTTTGCCTTTTTGCCTTTTTCAATGCCCTTTTGCCTTTTTGCGTGCCTTTTTGCCTTTTTGATGCCTTTTTGCCTGTTTGATGCCTTCTTGCTCGATTTTTGACGATTGAACCCAATTTATTGTCGTTTAAAACGTATTAAAGAAATTGCAGAATCTGCAATATGTTTTTAAAATTGTATTGGAGGGTTCTGACTTTCATCAATACTTTAAATTAGTTGAATACTTTTCCCCAAATATCTTCAGCGTTGTTTCTACATCGCCATCAGCTTAATTAATCAAATTTTGACACTAGAGCTTATATTTGCGAAAAGTATTAAAAACGAAATGAATAAGTTCCACTTTAATTTTATCACGGGACTCTCGTCTCATCTCGCCCCAAATTAGCAAAAGGGCAAAACGGCAAAAAGGCACAGATTTTTGTGGGGCAAAAAGGCAAAGAGCACATGTGCTAATGTGTTTATTTGAAGGGCTGTAAAGGATGCAGCTGTAATTAAAATGACAGAAGCGACCGCTTGGGTTAAAAAATATTTGATTGCTGTCTCTGTAGATTTAAAATTAAGGTCTCTTAAAATTAAAGGGATAAATCTTATTAGGTTAATTTCTAGGCCGATTCAACAAAGAATTCATGAGTTAGACGACACTGCCATTAAAGTGCCTAAAAATGTAGTGGTTATAAATGTTAATTGATAACTTTTAAAGAACATTAAAAAGGAAGAGATTTGACTCTTATAGAAGGGGTATGAACCCTTTAGCTTATTTAGCTTACCTTTATATTAATTGTGTGTGTGTGGTTGGCTAGGCCTATAAAATTTATAAATTAGTTTAAATGAACATTAAATTTTGAATTTAACAGAAATAGTGCAATTCTATTATTTATAAATAAAGGTACAAATACATGATCTATTCTATCAAAATAGCCCTTTTTTCAGGCACATTATTAATTTTTTCTTAGTACATTATAAGATGTTTTAATGTTTTTTGCGTTAATGAGATTACGTGTAGTATATATATACATACATATATATATTTATTTATATGAATATATTAGTATATACATATGTATAAATATATACATATATATATATTTATTAATAAATAAAAATATTTATATATATATATACATATTTTATATGTATAAAAAAAAAAAATAACGTAACCATCAATATACTTAAAATTAATAATAAAAATTAACGAATAAATAATCAAAGATTAATCCAAAATAACCAATCAATTAAGGCTATAATAATATGTTTAAATTTATTACATATATATATATATATATATATATATATATATATATATATATATATATATATTAATTATATGCATATGTATGGTTCATTACATATATATATATATATATATATTTATTTATATGAATATATTAGTATATACATATGTATAAATATATATATTTATTAATAAATAAAAATATTTATATATATATATACATATTTTATATGTATAAAAAAAAATAACGTAACCATCAATATACTTAAAATTAATAATAAAAATTAACGAATAAATAATCAAAGATTAATCCAAAATAACCAATCAATTAAGGCTATAATAATATGTTTAAATTTATTATATATATAAATCTACATATATATATATATAAATATTTAATATAATATTTTTTTAACTATTATGCTTAAAAAAATAGTTAAAAAAATATGGGGGTTTATACTTTGGGCAGAAAAGTTTGATTTTAGCTTAATGATTTATTTTATAAATTTTATACATGTAATAGGGCAGTATTTTATATTATGAAACTAATTTAGGCATAAAAATTTATGTAAATTCTGAATAAATTTTGTGCCAGCATTCGCGGTTATACCTTACGGTTTAATAAATCTTCTTAGAAAATTTAATATAAAAGTTATTTACAGTAAAAAATTAAGTAAAAAAGTAAAAAAGTAAAATTAATTAAAAAAGTGAAATTGAGTTTTATTTTATGTATACCTATATTTTAATTAAAACTTTAATTAAAAGACCTGGATTAGATACCCAGTTATTTATTTTATAAAATATCTAAGGTAGTAATTTTTAAAACCTAAAGAATTTGGCGGTATTTTATTCTTATTAGAGGAACCTGTTAGTTAAAAGATACTACACTATAATTAACATTAAATTTTCGTATATACCGTTGTCGTAAGAATTAATTTGTAAGTTTTTTCTAAAATTTTCATATGATTTAAGTCAAATCAAGGTGTAGAATTTTAATGGCTCAATGGGTTACGTTTATTTAAATAATGGTTTTATATTTGGTAATTATAGATAAATTGGATTTAAGAGTAATTTTATGTTAATAAAATTGAATTTAGCTCTAAAATATGTACATATCGCCCGTCGCTCTAATTATAAAATTAGATAAGTCGTAACAAAGTAGATTTTCCGGAAGGAGGATCTTGGTTAATGTAATATAGCTTAAGTAAAGCATTTCATTTACACTGAGCTGATTTAGAATTGACTCTAATATTATAATTTTTAAAACTATAACTTTTTAATTTAATTGATTTTTTAGTATAATAAAGAAAATTTAATTTTATATAATCCGTGGGGGGAAGTTGAAATAATATCAAATATAAAAAATTTTAAAAGTACTCAAAAGGTACCTTTTGTATTAGTGTGAGTTTAATTAATTTTTTATAAAATTTTCTCGAAAAATAAAGAGTAATAAATTATTTTGTACTTGTTGTTGAATTAACATTAAAAATTATTTATAGAATTGAGATTTTATTCGATTTATTTTATATCTAGTTAAATTAAAAAGGTTTATCCTTGCTATCATAATATTGATTGAGTTTTAAAAATATATTTTAATTAATTGTTAGTAACCAGGTTGTATATTTTATTGGGGCAATAAAAGAATAAAATTAACTTCTTATTGATAAATTTTATTTAATTAATTAACTTTTATTATAAAATTTAATAGAAGTCACCTTAGGGATAACAGCGTTATTAAAGTTGAGAGTTCTTATCGACACTTTAGATTGCGACCTCGATGTTGAATTAAAAATTCTTTGAGGGGCAGCATTTTTATTAGATGGTCTGTTCGACCATTACATTTTTACATGATTTGAGTTCAAACCGGTGTGAGCCAGGTTGGTTTCTATCTTTTAGTTTAATTTTAGTGTTTTAGTACGAAAGGATTAAGCATTAAATTATTTATTTACTAAGTTGGCAGATTAGTGCAATTGATTTAGAATCTTTATATAAAATTAAATTTTACTTAGTAGTGTTTTTAAATTTATTTATAATAATTTTTTCTTATTTATTTTTTGTGGTTGGGGTTTTGGTTAGAGTCGCATTTATAGTGTTATTTGAGCGTAAAATTTTAGGTTACATCCAGATTCGTAAGGGTCCTAATAAGGTTGGCTTCACTGGAATTTTACAATCTTTTGGGGATGCAATTAAATTATTTATTAAAGAGCAAACTATTCCTCTTCTTTCTAATTTAATTCCTTTTTATTTTGCCCCAGTTTTTTCTTTATTTATAGTTATTTTGCTTTGAAGAGTTCTAATATCTTTAATTTGCTTTGAATAGTTCTAGTATCTTTGATTAAGTTCTTCTTTTATTAATTTTTATTTAGGGGGTTTATTTTTTTTTGCGGTACTAGATTTGGTGTTTACACTTTAATGGCCAGAGGGTGGTCATCTAATAGAAATTATGCTTTACTTGGCGCAACCCGTGGAGTGGCGCAAACAATTTCATATGAAGTCAGAATAGCTTTAATTTTTTTGTCTTTTATTTTTGTTATTGGTTCTTTTAATTTGAATGAATTTCATTTATACCAAAGTTTAGTTTGATTTATTTTAGTGTCATTTCCTATTTTGTTATGTTGGCTAGGTTCTATTCTTGCGGAAACTAATCGTACTCCTTTTGATTTTGCTGAAGGAGAGTCTGAGTTAGTATCCGGTTTTAATATCGAGTCTTGGAGTGGTGGGTTTGCTCTTTTATTTTTAGCTGAGTATGGTAGAATCATTTTTATAAGTTATTTAGTTAGTTGTATATTTTTTGGAGGCGGTGTGAGAGGCTTATTTTTAGGACTCATCGGCTCTTTTTTTTGTTATTGATTTATTTGAGTTCGGGGCACTTTACCTCGGTTTCGGTATGACAAATTAATATATTTAGCCTGAAAATCCTTTCTTCCTGTCTCTCTCAATTTAATAATTTTTTTATTATTATAAAGTTGCTAATTTAGAAAAACAAAGTTAAGGTTTGCTAAAGCTAGCAGTTGATGCAGGTGTCCTAACATAATAGAGAACAATAAAAAATTAATGATTTTGGTATTTTTTGTTTTCTTTAAGATTTCATGGGCATAATTTTTAGCCTAAACTATTAGGAGACTTAAACTCCTGTAAATTATTTTCAAGATAATTGCTTTATTTAAGCTAAATAATTATTTACATTATTTAAGAATTTTTTCTCAGGTTAAAGTGACTAAAGGTCTTGTCAAAAAATATAAAAAATACATTAAAGTTAAGATTTGCCCTACAAGAATATAGGGGTCTTCGGCCGGTCGGGCCCCAATTCAAGTTAA